TGTGTGTGTGTGTGTGAGTGTGTGTGTGTGTGTGTGTGTGTGTGTGTGAGTGTGAGTGTGTGTGTGAGTGTGGGACCTCAGTGATGGTGACGCTCCTGCGAGGTCCTGATGAACATCTACTGTCCGTCATCAGACGTGTGACCTCCATCAGCAGCTGCTCCGCCTCCATCACACTCGCATCTAGACACAAGACCTGCTGCAGTCGTATTTTAGTTAAAAACATCTTAATGCTGGATTTGTTTCAGCTTTTGTCTTCTCCAGATGTTTGTCTCATTGCTGAGACACTGATGCAATGACACATTTCTACAAATCTGATGAAGAAACAAACTCATCCTAACTTTGAACGGCCTGAGGGTGAACATATTTTTAAGTAATTTTCATTTTTGGGGAACTATTCCTTTAAAGCATCATCTCTGTCTGAACATTCTCACACGTATGAGTCACGAGACGAGGAAGAGTGACATGAGAAGTGTGTCACAGTAATGTCAAAATTCAGTGTTGCTTACGCTCAGATGATGGGGGCGGGTCAACAGGTTGTCACGGTGACACTCACCTTCAGGCCCTTATTGGCCAGTGCGCGTCTGTAGAAAGCTTTCTTATTGGTGGGCTGGAGCTGAAGGGCGGAGTCACAGTCCTGCTGGGCCTCAGTGAAGCAATGAAGTTTGATGTAGCAGAGCGCTCTGAAACACACACACACACACGCATCATCTTCTGCGGGTCCTGCTAACACACACACTAGGGCTGAAATGATTCCTCGAGTAACTCGAATACAAAAAATCATTGAGGCAAATTATTTGCCTTGAGGCTTCGTTTAGTCCATTTATTGTAACTACACACGGAACACTGTGTTTCCCCACGGACCATTATTACTGACGCACAACCCCATATACGCTGGACATAGCCTGCGTCCCAATGTGCATGCTATCCATGCTAAATTCTATGTGATATTTGTCATTTTCAATACTATTTAGGGCAGATAGGGTGGATAGTATGCACAGGCAGGGATATTTAAGACCGTAAATCAATATGGTGGCTAGTTATGATGTCCCTATGTTAGCTATGTTTTGTGAAAGACTAAGCGCCATTTATGTTGATTGTCTCATTCTCTCTCTGTGACACACACACACACACACTCTCCATAGTTATGCATAAAAATACCATAGAAAGTTAGTCAATATCACACGAAGAGTGCCAGTTTTCACCTCTAAAAATAAGCATGATTACAAATGTGATACTGATTTTATGCAACAGCTCAATAAACAAGAAGTTAATATTAAGAGACTTATGTTTTAGACACCACAGCGCTGTTTTGTGTCTCTGAGCAACATGACGGTGATTCGTTCCTGAATGAATCAACTGTTTAAATGATTCGGTTCAGTCGCAATGACTCACTTATTAACAGTGACTTGCTGCCACCTACTGGCGGTTTTAATTTCACATTTAAAAGGTCTTTTCATTTTTTAAATAATTGTAATGCGCTTTGAGTGAGCAGACGACACACAATAAACGCTGTCTTGCTTTCGGTGGCGGATACAATTATACAGAAATACTTTGACGACAGACTTTGCTCGGGCATTTCAGAACGACCATAAAAATATTTCAGATGCTGTGCAACAAAATCGGTCTGCTGGTTAGTCAGGCTATGCCGTCCCATAGCGCAAAGTCACATGACTGTTTTGAACGCTCATGCGGGATTTATTAGCAAAATGCATTTCCATCTCCCATTATTCACATTAAACCTTTTTCGCACAAGTCAAAAACCACCTCAAGCGAACGTAAAAACATTTTTGCGAATTAAGGGATTTATTTTTCTAAATTTGGCATTTACGACACTCATTTCTGATGCGATACTTCAAAATGCGCATAAAAAGAGGGTGATGGAAGCATAGCTACTGTGAGTGAGTGCTGGCGGCACTTGTGTGTGTGCTGTGTGAGAGCGCCATCATGTGGTCAGTGTGAGGCGTCTCTCCATGAGTGTGGATGTACCAGCGCTGTGGCGTTGTGCGGCTCGATCAGGAGAACAGCTCTCAGGTCATCATGGGATTCCTGCAGGCGACCCAGATGTTTGTGTGCAGTGGCACGCCGCAGTAGAGCTAATTTTCATGATCCCTCTTATTTGGGATCTACTTACACTGAAAGTTACCTCCGTTTTGGAACTGAAAGCTGAGTTTATCCGCTTGCTTACCCTTAAACATACCCGGGTATGTCACATAACCTGCTTTCTGGAATAAACCCAGAACCTGCCCCAGCCACCCCCCCCACAATATGTAGGAAAAGATCTGTTGCTGCTTCCGTTTTGTTGCAACGTCAATACTCATATCAGTTTATTTAAATCACTAACTATGATCAATAACAGTGACGCTTAGCTAATGATGCAATGCATCATAAAAACTGCTATTTTAGATTTTTAAAAAATCATTCTGTGTGATTTTATGAGCTTGTTTCCTCATGGGGACCAAAAAATGTCCCGACAAGGTCAAAATGTACTGGTATTACTGTACTATACTATATAACATAAGAAACACCAGATACACGCTCACAGGATCAGTGGAGTGTGTCGCTCCTCACCTTTGACGTTTCCAGGCTCCAGCTGTAGAGCCGCGTCGCAGTCGTTCAGAGCCGCGCTCCAGCACTGCAGTCTGATGTGAGCCTGAGCGCGGTTATTAAACACAGCGGCTGAAGACGCCAGAGACAGACTCCTGCACACACACACACACACACAGACACACACACACACACACGTCACTGCAGCTCAGCACCCCCAGGTAAAAAATAAAGCGTACTTGAATACACAAAAAAATACTTGCATACAATACTTAATACAAGCAAGTACATTTATAGAACATTCTTAATTTTGTGCATTGTACATTCTTAACTAAATAAAAATGTAAAAGTTATACACTATAAATATACTAATTAAAAATATATTTCTACTTCAGTACTACTTCAGTGCAAGTGCAAAAGTATACTAGATACCACTAATATTTAAATACATTTTTAGTACATAGAAATAAAATGTACTACCACAAAAATATACAGAGGACTATTAATATATTTCTTAAAAGTGTGCTTTGAATGATTTAAAAATTAGTTCAATCTTAGTACACTTTTATATACTTATCCTAAGTTTAAATTTAAATTGATATTATTTAACATATATTAGTAATGTAATAGTTATAAGTATATTTTCCCAACTGTGCTACTTAAGTACACTTAATATAAATACACTAATTAGCACTAACACTTAAACTGATTTTAAGTGTAGTCAGATAAAGTACCAGAAGTGTTTTATAATTGCACTGGTTAAAAGTGTGCTACGATCACTTTACATAACATTTTAGTGGATTTTTATATATACTATCACTAAGTTCTATTTGGATTTTCATAAAAAATACAATAGAAATGTATTACTTACAGTAAGTAACACCCTATAGGTTACTGTGCTTGGGCTACTGTAAATGTACTCGTGTACATGATTGGATTATTCATCCATACGTCTCTATATGTGTACCAAAATTCACAATTTAACAGTAAGCATACTTTTAGCATAAAGTACTTGAATGCTATATTTTTAATGTGGAAAAAAAGTTTATGTTTTTTTTGTTATGTAATCATGTTTTTATTGTGTCAGTTAGCTGTATTTTTTAGTTATTTTTTAACCTAATCAAAATAACCCAGCTGCAGTTTGATTGAGATTAATTGGAATGCACAATGAAAAAACATGATTTTGGAAAATTGTTATCTGCAAAACGGAAAAGACTGTTTTTGCAAATGAACTCTTCATATATTCATTATATATCAATCTTATATTGTAAATAATTAATAATTGTATTTTCTATGTATGATGAGTATATTTAAAAGTGTATGAAAGATGGTTTCAATTGTACTACAATTTTTGATTAAATACATACATACACAATAGTGTGTTTCTGTGTGTGTGTGTGTACTAATGTGTGTGTGTGTAAGTGTGTGTGTGTGTGTCTCTGTGTGTGTGTGTCTGTGTGTGTGTCTGTTAGTTCATATTCACGGCGTCTCAAAATAGCACAGTTGAGTACACTTAGATGATCTTAAGTTTATCTTAAGAAGTACTAAAGAATCATTTTAGTGCATTAAGTACAAAATTAGTGCGTGATAACAGAGCACATTAAGTAGTGTACTAAGTGTATTTTACTGCACTTGTTTCCACCTGGTGCTTCTCCTCACCTGCTGTAATACGCCACAGCCTCCTCATAATCGCCGCTCCTGAAGGCCTCGTTGCCTTGGTCTTTCTCCTGCACGCTCAGGGCTGAAGAGAGCAGAACACGTGAGGATGAGATCAAACACACTTCACACGCTCAGAAGACTGAATCCCCGTGACTCAGTGACGCTTCATCTGTTAGTTTGAGTGACACGGCAAATTCTGACCAGTTGAGTTGAGAAGCTAATAACACCGTCTGGCATCATATGTGCTGAGAGAAACCCAGCGCTCGTTTCTCACTAATTCTGTGCTGCTGAGTCCAAACAGACTGTCTGTTTTGAGAAACATCTGTGTGTGAATTAGTCTTGTTCTTTCTCTTAAACACCAGAAAAACACACAAACACATGATTCCTGTCTGAATCTGAGCCAACCATCAGATCAATTCTCGGTCCGTTTTCACATGCATGACAGTTTTGAATACTTTTTGTCATTAAAAAACTTTGTCATTGAAACTTTTGACATTTGAATGCTGTTATCTTGATAAGTGCATTAAAGCGGATATATACTGTATATATATAATTTCAAAAATCTTTATTCTTAGTTTGTGAAATTTTTTTTTACAAATATTTTTCAAGATGTGGGGCTGTGCAATAAATAAACTTAAAAAATGTAAAAGTAAAATGAATCATTTAAAAAAAAAAAAAAAAAAAAAAATAGAACACTTACTAAACAAGATTAAATCATTTATTTGTTTAGCTGAGCATTAACCACCATCTGAGAACCGTGAACATGTTTTTTTAATTATTGAAATATGAACATTAGAAATATGAAATGATTGAATATGAAATCTCCTCAGGGAAATATTTAAGCTCAAACAAGTTCAGCTGACAAAAAAGTTTGCGAACAGCTGTTTTGTTGCAGATTATCTGTCTGTCTGACCGATGACATACGAGCGGAGTGAGTGGATCGTCAATATCTCTGCTACGCCTCTCTTTTAGCTGGAGCACAAATGACTCACAGCAGCTTTGGGTTTGATGGCTGATCTCTGACCTTTGCTGCTGACCGTCGGTGTGGTCTCAAGCTCGGCTGGACGGATGCAAGCGTGACATGGGTTTCTGTCGCTCTCCTCAGTGTTAGCGCACTCAGCCTCCACATCAAACCTACAGCATGAACACACACACACAGTGTTACACACACACACACACACAGTGTTACAC